CTAATGTCTTTTCTTTGATAAATAACTCCTTCTCCCTGTTAATGACTACATGTTCATTTTTCCTTTCACCAAATAAGTCAAATCCATGCCAATAAAATTCATACAGTATATTCCAGAAGTAAGTAGACACTGCAGTGTGGGCTCTCGTGTGGCATTCTTTTCCCAGATTTCATGTGGAGGTGAGCGAATTTACCCTGTTAACGAGCAAACTAGGGCGGAGGGCAGAGCAGGTAGCAAAAAGCTAATTTTAAGTCACCCTCCAGATTGGCAGTCCGATGAGTGCAGGTAACAATCCAGCAGACCTCGCTTTTCCCCAGCCAGAAATCTAGACTGTAAGCTCTTTTGTATCCCAGTACTTAGCACAGCAACTGGCACATGCGAAGGTGCTAAACAAACATTTGTTGAATAACAGAATTTTATTGGTTAAGGGCTTGGGTGGAGACAGAGAACGCACAGGACCCTCCCCTATCGCATACTTTACCAGGAGAAGATGCCAACACACAGAAGACTAGGTGCCTTCGTAACAGTTAAACTAAACTGTAGCCGATGATAAGAAATACTAACTTATTCACTAAATATAACCAAAATGGCAGGGCCCTAAAACTACATTATTCTCTTCCTAAACAGACATCAGCCTGGGATCACAGAAACCAATTTTAGCACTCCCCTCTACTCCTTAAATGTGTATAAATCACACTCCTAAAAACGAGACTTTCATACAGAAATAAAACTAAAATTTGCCAATACACCTCAGAGTAAAATGTTATTTAAGGATTAGTAAAACATTTATTTTCCGAGCATGTGAATAGGACACTTGTTCTCCTAATTTTCCTTCACGTCCCTCACCAGAACTGAATCTTCTGGCATCTGGAACAGATTCTTTCAAATGCATACATACACCTGTTTTAAATTCAGACTCCCCAGAACCCGTAAAAACAAGCTCTTCCAGGCAGCATCAGCAAGCTGGGGGCTCCTGCTAAGGACAGAAAGGGACCTGCCCCCGCCATGAGAAGTGAGCTAAAAGGGGGATGTTTGAAATGCCACTTAGGTTAAATTAATAAAATGATATTATCATCACTTACAGGTTTAAGAAAGTGTGTGTTTCAAGTTAAGTGTTTTACCATAATTACCCTTGTTGGATGTCATTTTCTCTTACTTTTTAGCAGAAGAACTTGAGGAACATCCTTTTTGAGACTTCTATGTTCTAGTTATGAAAGTTCTAGACTGCCTCTAGTTAACTGGACCATATCGTGCACTTCAAATTTTGTTGAAGGGAGATCTCATGTTAAGTGTTCTTACCAAAAGAAAAAAGAAAAAAAAGGTGGAGGAAACATAAGGAAACTTCTGGAGGTAATGGAATTGTCTTTGACCTTGATTGTGGTGTTGGTTGCACAGGTATCTGCATACGTCCAAGCGCATCAGATTGCTTCACTAAATACATCCAGCTTTCCAGATATCAATTATACTTCAATAAAGCCGACTTTTAAAGTGACGTGAGGTTGAAAAGTAAGCAAGAGACATATCAGACAGGATCTTGAGATATTCAGACTTTCAAAGGATAAAGGGACAGCACCAAAGGGTTTTAACCAAGAGAAACAGTCTGATAAAGTACCTGAAACTATTTAACTGGCTGCTTTGCAGAGCATAAAAGCCAGAAGGCCAGGAGGGCAACATTGTAGTACACCAGGTGACAGAAGATGGTGGCTTAGATGACGGTGGAGACAGTGGATGGATTGGACATATACGTGGAGGTGGGAAAATTATAGAACTTGGTGATAGATTGGCATGGGGGATTACGGAAGAAAAGAGATCCAGGATTTACACTTGAGCAAACAAAGTGGCTCATGGCCCATTATTGAAATGGGAATTTGGGGGGGAAAAATAAGTTAGGGAGAGAGCAGTTGGAAAAGAGAAGTTCTATTACAGGCATTATGTTTGAGTCCCTTCAAGATTTCCGAAAGGAGTTACCAAGCACACAGTTAGAGAAAACACTCCATCATTCAGAGGAGGCACTGGCCGAATAAATGAATTTCCGGTTCATCTGTATATACGTGGTATTTAAAACCCTGGAAATGGGTGGGGTCACTTATGGAAAGAGGGAGGGAAGGAAGACAGAGGGCAGCCTGGGAAACACCGAGGTTAGAGCACAAACAGAAGACAAGCCAACAAGGAGGCCAAAGGGGAGCGACCAGAGGGGTTAGAGAAAACACATCACTGTGAACGGGAGTGTCACGGAAATCAGGAAAGGAGGAGGGAGACGAGCCACCGTGTCACAGGTGATCAAGGACAGAGAACGCCCCCTGGAGGCGGCAATGTGGACATCACTGGTGACTTTGACAAAGATAATTTCAATGGAGTGAGATGGGCAGGAGGCTGATGGATGGGAGCCCATGCGTGAGTGGGAACCGAGGCGTGGAGGGACCGTGGGAAGCCAACTTGTTCAGAAGTCCTTTGCAAAGGACAGTGGAGGAAGGCAGTGGTCACCTGCAGAGGACAAGCAGCCTAGCGGTCATTTTGTTGGAGACACAGGAGGGCAGGACGATGAGCAACTGTCCACGACAAGAGGAAAGAAGGGGAAACGGCTGACCATGTAGTCTGGTTCAGAGACACCTCTTCCCCTCTCTCTCCTGGGCCTACCTCCTCCAGATACAAGGACTAGAAGAAACAAACAAGGAAGCAGAGGTTATCCTAAACAACGGATGTCCTCCTGGCGGTGGTGTTGGGGTCCACATTTGATCCACTCTGGTTCATCAGATGCTGCCGCCCTCTGCCGATATGGTGGCTTCTGTATACCCAGTACATGTGTGTTTTTGGGGGGAGGGGCGGTTGGCGTCGGTGCTCAGGTTTACTCCTGCCTTCTCCATAGCTGAGAATCCCCCCAGAAAGGGTACCACGTATCTCTTTGGCACCGACAGTGGTCCATGCCCTCAATCATCTCCCCAAGTTCAGCATCCCCTGACTTGCTCAGATGCCTCCTGGGAAGCCCTCCTTCCGGCCTCTCATCTAATGTCCATGCTCCTTAATTTTGAGCCACAGAAACCACTGAAGTCCTTTTCCATGTCCCCTGAAGGCCAAAGAGAACTACAATGAAGCCCCCAACATCTATCTTCTTCATCCAAAGCATGTTAAACCACGGACCTCACTCACCCTGCTGGCAAGAGTCAGAAAGCTTCTCCCCTTAGAAATTTCAGGCAGAGGAGGCACCAGTTTCTATGGCTACATAGGCTCCTAAACACCAGGGGGCACACGTCAAGCCCCCCGACAACCCCCGCAGCACCCTCCCCCTGCTCCTATGGCAACACCAGAGCAGATAACAGGTTTCCAGCTTCATGACCACGAAGCCAAGAAGTGAGAGCCCAGCCTTCCCTTCTTGCGATTCGCTCATCTCTACAAGCGATTCTCTCGATGCTCCCCATGTGCACTTGGCTTTGGGGGAGAGAGGCTCCCGCCTCCCTGGTAAGGGAGTGAAAAGGCCACGCATGCCCCCACCAGGCTGCTGACTCCTGACTCCGTCGGAGCCCCCTCTCTGCTCTCCCTGGGAGAACGGGGGAGAGGCGGGAGTCACGGCGGAGGGCCGCAGGGAACCCCCTGCGGCCTCTTTAATAACCCTTGGTGGCGTGTCTGCCCCTAAACGTGGGCAGTTGCTGGGACTTATCACTTCTCTGTCCTTTATTTTGGACCCCCAGTTTCTCAGCCAGGAAAATGGTAAATGTCTCACTTTGTGTGACAAAGAGTCACTGGAGGACACTGCAGGGAGAGGGGATGGCATATGCAAAGGCCAAGGAGCAAGAAAGACCAGGATTCCTGACCAGGAGATCCATATGCTTGATTTTCAATGGCTCTGAAATCTGAGCCAAAAGCTGGGGCTAAAGGCACAAAAAGAGACCTAACTGTGGAAAGCCCTACACGCCCTTCTAAGGAGTAAAAATCAAACACAGCAGGTGATGCACAGTCACTGGGGAATTCTTTGCAAAGGAGTGACAAGACTGAGTTTGCACGTTAGAAGAGTGAGTGCTGGCAGCTGGCAGGCAAATTATGTCCACGCGTCTAGAAACAGGAAGAAAGCAAGGCAGGCTGTTGCCATTCAGGAGAGAGAGGAGAAGGACTCAAACTATAGTGAGGGCAGCTGTGAGGTGGGAAGGGAACAGAGGTGAAGGGATGTAGGACGTGGACCAGACAGGTCCCTGTGGTTAATCAGATGCACAGCAAGAGGGAGAAGGAGACTTTTACAGGGGTCCGCTGGTTTCTTACTTGAGGAACCACGTGGCTAGCAGTGATATTTGCAAAGACAGCGTTCAGCAGAAGAGGATGATGGGTTCCACTCTGGACGGACTGAGTCTGAGGCCCTCAGAGGACATCTACGTGGACATCTACCTGCTTGGACACCCAGGAGTATCCCTCAGCATCACCTGGCTGAAGACGCTGATTTGGACGTTGGAACCATGAGTGGGGAGTGGGGTAAGCAGAGAGGGGTAAGAGCACTCAGGACGGAGTTCTAGGGACCACTGACAATTTAGCAGTAGGAAGAGGAAGAGGAAACCAAAAAAGACACTAAGAATTTACCACTGAGGTAGGTGGGAAACGAGGAGAGACTAGTGTCATGCTATGGGTTAAGGAGGAGATTCCACGGTGAAAATGCTACAGGACGTGCCAAGTAAGACACGTTGGAAGAGTTTCCCCTGGACTTAACCATCAGAACAGCATCTGAGACCTCAGGGAGTGAACTGCAGAGAGAGTAGAAGCTGGTGCAGAAGGCAAGTCAATGGAAGAAGTCGACAGGACAGAAGGAGAAGAAGGTCTCCTGTGAAGGAAAGACAAGACAGGAAAAGCTGGAGGGGCTGCAGATCAAGAAAGGATGTGTGTGGGGGCAAGAGGGTGTGCTTGCTGATGGATCTACTGCAAAGCAGAGAAGGGGGGAGAGAAAGCCTTTGAGGGCGGACTGCAGTTCTGCCCTCTGAGATGACCGTGGATTCTAGAGAGGCATACTTCTTCTTTTTTTTAAATCATATTTATTTATTTATAATTGCAGTACTGTCAGTTACAGTGTGTTGATTTCTTGTGTACAGCACACTGTCCCAGTCACAGAGACGCACGCTTCTAAACTAAGCATGGAACTTACTAACCTCTATTTACCAGCCTCATGAAGTATGTGATACTCCAGTAGAATTTAGGAGCCAGAAACTTAAATTTCCAAATTCTAATTCTTTGCCTAAATCTCTGCTTTTAATCCCAAGAAAGGAAATAAAGAAGCCAGGAGTCCTCTGTGGGCGCCACTGAACACCCGTGAATTCAATCGGTTCCTCTTGCAGCATAATAGCCACGTCTAGCATTTTGATAAAGTCTATAAGCATCTTCAAAAGCATGCCTAACTGTAAATTATCAATCATCTGAATCAACCAGTAACTCTTCCAGTATCCCCCCCAAACCTAGATGAACCCCAAACACTGCCTGTGTGGAAACTGACATCAAATCATACCCATCAGTTTCCCGAGGACCCTTCCTATCGAGCCTTCTCTCCACCTATACTTCAAAGTAAAATAAAAAGAAAAGAAAAAGAAGTCAGACTGTGATATCTATTCTCATGTCAACTTTAAAGGGTATCAACTGTCTCTTTAAAAAAAAAAAAACATTCTAGTGAGAGGGTATAGTTCAGTGGTAGAATGCGTGCCTAGCAGGCACAAGGTCCTGGGTTCAATCCCCAGTATCTCCACTAAAATAAATAAATAAACCTAATTGCCTCCTCCCAAAATAAAAAGTGAAAAATAAAATTTAGAAAAGGAGATACTATTAAAAAATAAAAATAAATAAGTTTTTAAAATAAAAAATTTACAAGTACGTTCTATACACATTAATACTAACATATTCTTTCTTTAAAAGGGTGTTTACTTAGATCTGACTTTTCAAAACCAAAATCAGTTTTCTAATTTAGAAAAATTGTTTTTCACCACTATATATCTAGCCAGTTCCACTGAAAGGGCTTTTCATAAAACTAGAAAAATAATTCAATAGACCAGCCTGATGGTTTATTTTTGCTAAGTTTCTTTTTTCAGTTTTATAAGACTGCAGACAGATAAGACCTGCCAACACCTGTGTGTATCATCCTGGTGTCTAAAACATCCTTTGTGACTGCTAAATATGTGATAAAACTGTCAAAAGTCTATGGAGGCAGCTGCTTGAATCTTGAACCCAAAGTCAAAGCTCTGTTTATTCTATGAGAGTGTAAGACTTGCGAATTTTACAGCATATGGAAAGAAAAACCCTCACCCCAACTTCTTTTTTATTTTCTTTTATTTTATGCTACGGGGGATTTCTTTCCAAGTGCTAAGCATTTATCAAGTTGCTCTGTTCCTAAGATGAAATGCTATACATATTTTTTTCACTTTTGACTGAAGTATAATAGACTTTAAGGAAAGTGCATTTATGTCTTCATGCACAATTCGGTGAGTTTTCCCACACTGGGCCCACATGTATAACCAGTATCCAGATCAAGAAACAACATGACCAGCCTTCAGACTCGCTTCCAGCAACTGCTCATCCCAGAGAAACCACAGTCCTGACTTCGAATCATCAAAGCCGCTGTGCCCGGTTTGGGACTCCATGTAAACGGAGTCACGCAGGATGCTGACTCGTGTCTGGCTTACTCGGCTCCACGCTGCAGTTTCAACGCCTTATTAACGTGTCTGTAGTCGAAGGTGAGCCTCTACAGCACTGTAGTTCTCAGTCAGCCATTCAACAGCTGTTTGTCAAGCTCCCCGTGTGTGCCAGGAGCGAGTGAATCTTCATTCCTATATATAACATTTCAGTGCCCCCCTGTTGACGGAAAGTCAGTACAGAAAACTAGTTTCCGAACGCGTCTTTCAAAGCGGATTGCTTTGCCAAATTGAATTTCAACAACTTAAAAAATAATCGCAAAATCATGATACACATAAGGATACAGGCAACATTTTGTTTTTCTTTCAATAGGCACAAATTCCATTTCTATTCACATTCTCAGTGTTTACTCAGTATCCTGTGTTTTCTCTCATGACATTTTGTGATCAAAATAATGTTTTTTTTTTTTAAGATTTGTGAATCTGAATTCTTGGGAGCAGTTAGTTCTTTGGGACACTTTGTTCCAAAGCAGGTGGTGTGAGTCCAGGGACATACTGAACCTAGCTGTGAATCCCAATCTTACCACAAATTAGCTGTGTAACTTTAGGCAAGTTCTTTAACCTCTCTGAGCTACTTTCTGCATCTACAAATAAAATGATAAACCTACATGATCTCTACAGAATCTCCAAGTTCAAAAATTCCATTAGTCTCTCTTAAAATAAGAACTAATTATACAGTGCTGTATTATTCAGCCACGAGAAAAGAAGGAAATCCTGCCATCTGCGACAACACGGATGGACCTTGAAGACATTATGCAAAGTGAAATGTCAGACTGAGAAAGACAATGCTCTTTGACAAGTGAGTATATGGATCTCATGAATATATAGAATCTAAAACAAACAAACAAACAAAAAAACTCAGATAAAGAATACAGAGAACACACTGGTGGTTGCCAGAGGCAGGGTGGGGACGGCGGGAAATGGATGAAGAGGGTCAAAAGGTACAAACATTCAGTTATCAGGTAAGTCCTGGGGGTGTGAGGTACAGTATGGCGACTGTAGTTAACTTTCACATATACAACACAGTATTGTTAAGAGAGAAGATCTTAAGAGGCCTCACCACAAGAAAAGAACTTTGTAACTCTGTGTGATGATGGATTTTAAATAATCTTATTGTAGTGATCGTTTTGCAGTATATAACGTATCAAATCATTATATTGTACACCTAAAACTAATACAATGTTATACGTCAATTATATCTCAGCTTTAAAAAGAGCTTCCTGCTCTTTCTTCCATTACAATGATACAATAAACCTCCTAGCACAAAACTATTTTCAAATCACTTTAATTTTCCTAGCTTTTCAAGTATGTGTAAGCACTCACAAAACTAGTAAGGGAAGCTGGCTACAGAAAGCAAAAGCTCCATCTCTTTGAATTAAAAAGGAGTTGGTGCCTCTGTGTTCTGTAGACCAATCTCAGACGGCCCACTGGCTCAGCAGTGTCCCCCATTTTCTGTAGAGTAGATGCCTGAACACAGTGCATAAAGAAGGATCAGCTACTTGCCTTGGAGAGAGAGTTCCTGACCACACCCAAGGAGTATTATAGAAATAGAATTGTTTTTTAGGCTAACACACTTGCTCCTGGAAGAAAAGCTCCAAAATTATATTTCCACATTTTAAACTGACCTTCCAATACCCAAAATGCAGCACTGAGTCTGGCCCCAGTGGCAGCGTGCATTGGATAGCCCGGCTCTTGCCAGGGAGCATCCTCAAGCCTGAGCGATGGCAACAACAGAACGTAAAATCTGGATCTACTTCCCAAAGAGAAAAGTCATCAGATGTGTGGCCTTCTCCCGTGGTTCTGTGAAACATTTGCTTAATGAGACATCTCACGAAAAACAACAGTGAAAACACCCAAACACGTTAGTCCTTAGAACTCCAAAGTCTAACAACAAAGCTTAAAAACACAGTAACTGAGGAGATAAGGGACAAGTTCCACCGTGTCTACTGCGTCCCCAGAGGGCAGAACTGGGATGTTCAAGTTTCAGTGGTGATTAATAACATGGAGCTAAACATCTAAAGAATGTTGATCAATAGACTAATAGATTGTCCACTGAAGTCCATGCCTGCTTTCCAGCCGGTCAGCCCGGAGGCCGATGGCCTCATGTCATGAGCAGACGGAGGAAAAAGCAAAACCCAAAACAGAACCAAATGATACGGGCTCTCTGACACCTCCGAGTGGGAAATTACAAACCTTCAAGTCCAACCCCAATCCTATTTTTGGTTTGTTTGAGGGAGAGATATATCAACACAGATTTTTTTTTTTTACCTCTGAAGAGTAAGTCACAACTGACGTAAAGCAAACACCCCAGAAAGGAAAGTCCGCCGTCCCCAGGCTGCAGCGGGGTCTGGGGAGGCGCTGACGCAGCTCGGAGGTTCAGGTGCCAGACAACAGCTGAGCTCATCTGTATGCAGTTGGTAAATTTGCAAAGGTAAACTCCGAGAAATGTTGCATAATGACACCATAAGGGGAAAAAAGTCACTTCTGGGTTCGCTGTTCCTTAAGCTCTTTGAATTCTTGCTTCAGCGGCTCTGTTGAGTCACAGCGGTGATCCGTGTTGGCAAGAACCAAAAATAACACGACGAGCTGCAAAGGTTACGTGGTTGGGGCCAGCTTTTTATGGCCACACAGCAGCGCCTTTCTGTGGAGTGGAAATGTAACATGTAGCTTGTAAGGGAAATCTTTCTCAAGCAGGTTCTTATTCAAACTTGTCTCAGGTCTGCCCAGAGGGTTGTTTCTGCTCTGCTGAAAGCAGGCAGCTAAACACAGAATTTAAAGGACACAGTTATCTTCGAGGGACCTTCTCTGAACCTCCAAGGCTGGACAAGACCCCTGACGGAGAAAACTTCGCACGTTCCTTAAGCAACACAAAATCAGTTCGACATCTGACTTTGATTAGAAAACATAAACCCTTTTCAGAATCTTTCCCCTTCCTTCCCTTCCTCCCCCCAAAATGGCACTGCTTCAGTTTTTCCAATCATACAGTGATATTTGGAAAGTTCCATTTGCTTCCATTAAGAAAAATACAGAGAAGGGAAAAATACATAATAGCCATCTATCATTTTGTATGTGGGGCTTAGTTACAGGATTCTCAAAAAACAACTGTGTTATGTGAATAATTTAGGTCTGAGGGTGATAAGACTATTCGGCTCTAAGAAACGACTGGTATATTTAAGGGATGACTCGTAATCTCTCAACAAGGGGTTGCTTTGCCCTGAATTTCCTCTCACTCATTGCATTATTATTCACTCAACACATATTTATGAAACACCCAGCATCCTCCAGGCTCTGAGACACTGAGGTGAGGGGCATCAGGCAATCAATCTAGTGGGAAAGACCGATCAGAATCAGAGGATCACAAAATAAGTCTGACAGAACGACTGCGATCAGGGCGCTGTGGGAGAACGTCGCACTTTAGAGCACGGGAGTTGAACCTAATCAAGGAAGTCAAGAAAAGCATCGCTCAGCTCAGCACTAGTGGAGCAGAGATGGAAAGGGTGGGGCAGCTCACTGGGAGTGGAGGGAGCAAAGAGCGATCCAGCTGAGGATCGCTGCTTCCCGGAGCAAAGTCCCTGCGGGAGAGCCCGTGGTGCATCTGGGGAACTGGAAGCAGGGCTGGGTGGCCGAGGGGGCTGAGCAGAGCCCCAGAGAGGGTGGGGATCAGGGGATGGGGCTGGAGAGCTGCTGAGGGCAGGGGCCACGCCGGGACTAGGAGCCACTAATAAACATTTCAGCCTTTCTCCTAAGAACAGTAGGAAGCCATTAAGGTATAATAACGAGTAAGCAGTGGGTGACTTAAACAGATTTCAGTTTTGTGTTTGTAATACAAACGAATAATTGACTTTAAAAAAAAAACTCCAAGCAATCCAAAAATGAATCATTGCCTTAATTATTAATTATTGCTAGGAACATCCCTAGCAACACAATATTAAGAATAAACTTGGTCCATGCCAATTTCCTAGCAATGACAGACAATGATTCTTCTCTTCACCGTCATAGAAAGTTGACCCAAACTCCAGTAACCTTTGCCATTTGTCATGTCCGTTTTGGCCAATCCCAACTCACCTAGTTCCAAAACATCGGGGAGGTGCTCGGGCAAGACAGGTCCGATGCCCTCAACAGGCCAGTCAATCCAGGTAGCCTCAATCCTGGGGCATCTCCAGACGGACATGGGGAGGAAAAGGCAAGGGCCAGAGGCAAATCCCAAGAGCCAGAGCAGCGACTGCCTGTCAGGATGGGAGAGTCTAAATGGAGCTATCCTGCCAGAAGGCACTCTGGTGTCTGGGTGTGTTTTGTGTGAAAGAGCCCTCAGACTTCCTGACACCACCCTGCCACGCTAAACTTCCAGGTTCTGCCTCCCTAAGCAGAGATGTGCAGGATGCTCCACATCCAGCCCACTGGGGGTCCCATTATTCTGCCCTACTCCAGTGGTTACCAGCCCCTCGCCAGTTCCCAGCCTGGCTGGGGTCCCCAGGCAAACCCGCCCCCAGCCCTATTCCCCACCTGCCTCAGCCGGGTCAGGTGCGGGGAGGCACCAGCCAGATCGGGCAGCCACCCTCGCCCCCAACACATTCCACATCAGCTGCCAAACTGGTCCCTCTGTCTCCCTGGCATCTCGGGTTGGGTGTACAGGTCGTGCGTCACCTCCCTAGTTTTCTGATGCAGGGGATACAGAAGCGGGGTGTCTGCCCTCAGCAAACGCAATAATACCCTCCCCCTCTGCCACCCCCTTGCCCCTAGGGGAGCCCCCTCACTGGGGAGTCCGTTACCTCCGCACGGGATACATGAGTCTGCTGTCAACACCCCATCTCCCGCCCCTGCTCTATCTGTCCCCCTCAGCCCAGCCCCAGACAGAGGGGGCAGGAGGCATGATGGCAGTGGGCTTTGTATCTGAATTTGCCGTCTTGAACATAAAGAATCTACCTGCTGCTGGGGGAAGAAGGTGAGTCCACCGCTTGGAAGTCGCGGCCTGTTTCCAACTGGCCAAGGCCCGCCCAGGGTCACAGCCTCAAGACATCAACATCGAGGGGAAAAAAACCAAAAACGTGTGCAAAGTTCTCCCCAGGGAAAAAGTGTTTTTTAAGATTTTTTTAAAAAATGTTTCCAAGAACGAGGAAGGGGAGATGATGATGGGGAGGCAAGGCCCGCTCTCCCCGCAGC